CCTGGGCATCAGTGAACTAAAATGGATGGGAATGGGCGAATTCAATTCAGACGATTATCATATCTACTATTGTAGGCAAGAATCCCGTAGAAGGAATAGAGTAGCCCTCATAGTCAACAAAAAAGTGGGAAAAACTGTACTGGGATATAATCTCAAAAATTATAGAATCATTTCAATACGAATGCAAGGCAGACTTTTCAACATCACAGTAATCCAAGTTTATGCACCAACCACCAATGCTAAAACTGACCAATTCTATGAAGACTTACAACACCTTCTAGAACTGGCACCAAAGAAAGATGTTCTTCTCATTATAAGGGATTGGAATGCTAAAATAGGGAGTCAAGAGAAGGGGAAGATATGGAGGCAGTGACAGATTTTACTTTCCTGGGCTCCATGATCACTGCAGATGGGGACAACAGCCATGAAATTAAAAGAGCTGTCGAAGTGGTAAAGGTATTGATGGACCACACTGTATTACGGTGGAATAGACAGATGCTGGTGACGCTGAGCAGGATGAGCACTCACGGTCCTCTTAATGGAGAAGAAAATAGCAACTTCCTGGTGCTGCAATGTGCCCGGAGCCGAGGAGTATTGATCGGCTTGGTTGGGGCTTTTAGGTGCCAACAAATAAGAGGTGCCAGGTAGTCCTGGGTGATCGTGGTAATATGATCCCTTTGACACAGAACACTCCCTAGCAGAGACATCTTGCAGGAGCAGCACCGCCAGGAAAAGTGACTGGCCGATAGTGTTCGGCGGGCTTCTCTATTAGGCACCGATCAGGGGAAACAGCATCCCAATGATGGTGCTGAGCGTGATCTCTTTCTGCGCGAGAAGGCAAGCTGACACTCATATAGGCTTGATGCCTTTGTTGATGTGCTAGGCCTACAGGGACAGAGTAAGGCACAGTTTCCGGTTGCATTTAGTGTCATGGATAACTGACAAGGCAATCTGTGAAGACTCACTCTGAGAGCCCGAGGATTGTTGCAGGCTATCAGGGAAAGCCGTGAGTTGATCAACACACTGTTCCCATTTGGGAGACTGCGACGGCGAGGTTGATGAGGTAGAAGTGCCTCCTCATCTGAAAGAGAACCAATATAGATGAGGTTTCCAGACTCCGGTAGTTGTGGAGTCAGGGAAACAGTTTTGGGAGGCTTTGATTTCGAAGACTCAGCCTTCTTCGGAGGTGACGGTTCCAATGCCAAGGAAGCGTCCATGGATGGTTTTCTCTTAGAGCAGGGATCATCAACACCCAGTCCACGACCCAGTTCCGGTCTGTGGGGCTGCCGGAACTGGGCCACAGACACGGAACACCCCCACCCCCTCGCACGCACGGGGGTTGTCGTGCTTGCAGGTGGGCGTGTTGCGCAAGCATGACACACTCACCTCTTGGGCGAGCCTGGCTTTGAACAGAGGGGAGGTGGCTTTGCCATGGCGGCCCACTCGAGCCTGGAGGACCTTGAGCTGATGGGCGGAGCGCTGACGCAAAGAGGAAGATGTAGCTGCCATCTCCCCAGCAACCCCGGGTCAGAGGAGGCTAAGAAACTGAGCCGGAACGCCGGCCAAGCCCCTGTGGCCACTCCTGCAATGGGCTGGCCACCCGCCCAGTCAGGAGCCAGGAGGAGGAAGTGGGTCTTGACGCCCCGCTGGCCCTCCAGGGCCACCAGCTCGGCGGCGTACTCAGCGAAGAGGACGCGGAAGCCCTTGTCCTGGAAGGCGTGGCTCAGGCGCTCCACCCATCAGCTCATGGTCCTCCAGGCTCAAGTGGGCTGCCATGACAAAGCCACCTCCCCTCCGTTCAAAGCCAGGCTCGCCTAAGGGTGGGTGTGTCATGCTTGCGCAACACGCCCACCTGCAAGCATGACACCCCCCATGCGTGCGGGGGGGTGCCCCCGCCCCCCACTGGTCCACGCACAGAGCCCGCACCCTCCAACCAGCCCCCGGTCGGAGAAAGGTTGGGAACCACTGTCTTAGAGACTGTTTTCGATGTCGAGGGTTTCGACATAGAATGTTTGGCTTTGTACACTCACGTGACCGTCGATATTGAGGGCAGAGTAGGTTATCAATGATTGGAACAAGATGGAGTCGCTGACAGGCGCTGTTTTGTCACTTTGGAAACAGCTTCATCCATGGCTTTAGGGATTGCTCCCAGAGCTGAAGCTTGAGGCTAGAGAGGTGACAGTAGATAACTCCGCGTTTAAAGTTTTTGCAGCAAAGAGCAGGATCTCATTATTGCAGGCTACACAGCTTTTAAATGGGCTTGGAAAGGCCATGAACTGAGACCGGTTTTGAAAA